GCTAGATTAGCATGGAATCCCCATTGCTGTGTGATAAGGTTAACACTGTGAAGAAGGACATGGAGAAATATGGTCATACCTTTGGAGTTAGTGTCTAAGAATGTGAGAAGTTTCACCAATGGAGATGTGTGAGTAGCTGTATGCCAGGGTGTGGTTCAGAGAACAAGAGTGCTCAGAGTGTCTGGACAACTGTGCTGAGGATTTTTGTCAGTATTCAAAGAAAGAAATGTGCAAAAATTATCCCTTCTGAGTTAGAACTCAGAAAAGCATGCAGGCTTAGCAGTGAAGATCACCTAGCAACTGATACCACATTTTTTTGCTCTGTTCATCCATTGATAGGTATATAAACTGATTTAATAACTTGGATGTTGTCTTTGTTGGGATTTTTATTGCTTTGATGGAACACCATGACAAAAAAGCAAGTTGGCAAGGAAAGGGTTTATTTACCTTACAATTCCACAGCATTGTTCATCATTGAAGGAAGTCAGGACAGGAACTCAAACAGGGTAGGAACCTGGAGGCAGGAGCTGATTTAAAGGCCATGGAGGAATGCTGCTTACTGACTTGCTTCCCATGGCTTGCTTAGCCTGCTTTCTTATACCAGGACCACTAGCCCAGGGATGGTACCACCCACAATGGGCTGGACTTTCCCCCATTGATCACTAATTGAGAAAATGTCTTACAACTGTATCTCACGGAGGCACTTCCTCAACTGAGGCTTCTTCTCTGATGACTCTATAGCTTGTGTCACGTTGACACACAATCATCCAGTGCAGATGTTTCTATTGTCGTAATAAGACAATATCACCAAAGCAACTGTTAAAAGAAAGTGTCTAATTTGGGCTCACAGTTGCAGTCCATGACTATTATGGTTTGAAACATGGCAGCAGGCAGACATGGCACTGAAGCACCAAGAGGCAGAGAGAGGGTGAGTGATACTGGGAATGGCATGGGCCTTTGAAACCTTGAAGCTTTCCCCTTCCAGCTTACCTCCTCCAGTAAGGCCACACCTTCTAATCCTTCCCAAACAGGTCTATCAACTGGGGACCAAGTATTCAAGCACATGAGCCTATGGAGGCCATTCTCATTCAAACCACCACAGGTATTGTGATAGTGCTGAATTAAACATGGGTACACAGATATATCCATTCCATAATGCATTTGATTTCTTTGGGGATACATCCAAGGATTTTATACCTGGAGAATCTGAGAGTTCTAGTTTTCACTTTTGGGAGGAATAATCCCACAACTTTCCACTGTGGCCTCTCTAATTTACCTTCCCTCCAACAGTGTATAGGAGTTACTTTCCCCCAAATATTTGATCAGATTTATGGTTGATTTTTGTTTGATGACAGACATTATAATTGGGGTAATATGGAATCTCAATATAGTTTCCATTTACACTTCTCTGATGACACTAAACATTTCTTTCATCTATTTATTGGCCATTTGTATATTTTAAAATATTTCTAAAGTCTTGGTGATGTGTTCAGTAAGTTCTCACAATTCTTTTAATATGCATTTCTTCTAAATTAGGACTTGCTTGGTCTCTGCCCCTTTTGAACATACTAATACTTGACTTTATATGACTAGTGGCATGAAGAGTTGGTAGGTAGAATCTATCCTTTCACAATACAATCATCTCAGTTAAGGTTATTACAGAGTACAAATGTTGGGACAGTACCACTAAAAAAAAGGTGAGTTTTCTTTTGCTGGAAAAATGGCTCTCTTAGTATGAAAATCTAAGATACAACTAGGTTTGAATAAGCCTACATAGTCTTATTCCTATTTCAAAGATACTTTTTCACAATCAACACTCTAACATTTAAAAACACATTAATTATAAATCAACATCTGCAATTATTTGCTAACATAAAGGATTAGATTTTATATCTAGGTTTTATCTATGCCACTCTTGTGGATAGATCTAAGATGAAAAATTTTTTTAGAGAAATCCTAAGAATGGTTGCATTTCAGATTATGTACTAAACTGAGAATTTTAAAACTTCATTTGTTATTTTACCTAAACTTTACAGCACAGTTACATGCAGTGACTTCCCATATGTATCTTCCTCATTTTCACAATGGTGTAGTGTTGTTGATTATTTTTTACTCTTTACTCTTTGGGGGCCCTTTTGGGGTGCTCACCACCCAGCTCCCAAATAAATCACACACAGAGGCTTATTTTTAATTATAAATACCTGGCCTTAGCTTGGCTTGTTTCTTGCCAGCTTTTCTTAACTTAAATTACCCCATCAACTTTTTGCCTCTGGGCTTCTACTTCTGGGCTCTTACTTCTATAAATCTTACTCTTACTCCATGGCTGGCTGGGGGGCTGGGGGGCTGGTCCTTGATGTCCTCCTTTTCTTGCTCTTTCTTCTCTCCCTCTCAGATTTCTTCTTCTATTTATTCTCTGCCAGGGAGTCTCACCTATCCTTTCTCCTGCCTTGCTATTGGCCATTCAGTTTTTTATTAGACCATTATGTGTTTTAGACAGGCAAAGTAACACAGCTTCACAGAGTTAAATAAATGCAACATATACAAAAGTAACACACCTTAAAATAATGTTCCACAACAGTTTAGCAACTATCTACTTTTCTTGATAGAGGCTGATTTCCACAAGAAAGTCACTATAGGTAAACATCAGAACAAACGTTTTGTTTTTTGCTTGCTAAGGACTACTATTGTCCCAGTTTCTTCAGGAAATGAGATTATTGCCTTCATATCTAGTCAGATCATACAATACACACTAAATGTCATTGTTGAATATATATTGCTTGTAACCTCTTCTCAGCCAAACTACACTTTTCTTGGGCCCAGAGTATATAACAGAAGCAACTCAAGATAGATGAGGAAAAATACTTACACTTAGTATACATGATTATACATTTACAACATCATTGGGTTATATGGATAGTGAAACTTTAGAAGTTATTGCTTTTCAAGAACACATTGATATCTATGATATAGGTGTTGGTAGGCCACTACTGCTGTTGACATATCTCAGAACCCAAAGCATTGTGCCTTGATACTGGGTCACTATATCTAGTTATTGGTCCTACCAGAATTAAAATAGTGAGACTTTATAGCTCCTTTTTCTTTTCTTTTTTAAAAGAATATTTATTTATTTATTATGTATACAGTGTTCTGCCTGCATGTATGCCTGCAAGCCAGAAGAGGGCACCAGATCTCATTATGGATGATTGTGAGCCACCATGTGGTTGCTGGTTACTGAACTCAGGACCTCTGGAAGAACAGCCAGTGCCCTTAACCACTGAGCCACCTCTCCAGCCCTCCTTTTTCTTATTAAGAAAATTTCTATTCATTTTACATACCAACCACAGACTCCCTCCTCTCCCTCCCCCCACTCCCCAGCATTCTCCCCCATCCCAACCCCCATTCCCACCTCCTCCAAGGCAAGGCCTCCCATGGGGAGTCAACAAAATCTGATTAGCTCCTTTTTAATGTATATTGCTGCACCATTCTTTGTCAGGCTGTCAAGAGACACAGTGACTATACCAATATAGCAGATGTTATTTTATGTCCCATTTATAATAGGTCTTTCTTTGGACCACCAGCTCCCAAATAATGACATAGAAACTTCTTATTAAGAATGAAAGCTTGGCCTTAGTTTAGGATTCTTCTCAACTAGCTCTTAAAACTTAAATTAACCCATTTATATTAACCTACATTCTGTCACATGGCTTATTACCTCTCAGTACAGTAAGTCTGACTTCCTCTGCATCTTGCTGGTGAATCCTCTGCCTCAGATTCTTCCTCTGAGTCCTTCTCTCTCCCCAAATTCCTGTCTATCCTCTCCTGCCTAGTTACTGGCCATTCAGCTTTTTATTAAACCAATTAGAAGATACCTTAGGAAGGTGAGGTAAAACAGAGACACATCTTCATACAGTGTGATCAATTTCCCACAACACCCATTGGCCCATCTTAGAGTTCATCTTCGGTTCAGTGGAAACCAGCAAGCTGATTTTTTTATTTTAATCTTTTTTGTCTTTTTGATTCTCTTCTGAAAAAGTTTCTCTGATGTCATAAGTGTTTTATGTGCTCAGGCACAAAGCAAACTATTATTTCTGGAGATTTAATGCCCCTAAGAGGTTAACTCCCAGTGAAGAATTGGAATTGGTTATCAGTGTACTAATTTCACAGTCTCTGTGGTTAAATGGAGAAACACATTGTTCACAATCTTTTAGAGGGTTCCCAAGTAAGATAGAGACCCAGGTACTCGCAAATGTAATTTATTTATGAAAACAACAATCTAAAATTTACTGACTTCTCCTCTCAATTTACAATTTTCCACTTTCTTATTTGTGCTTCCTGAAAAGTCCAATGATGTAATTACTTATAGTTTTGACTGGGGCTGCTTTCGGAAGAAACTAGTAAAGATGATTGTATCATAAAGCAAATCATCAGGGTGAGAATCTGTACTTCAATTACTTATAGATCATATGGTAATAACAGACTGTTTTCATGGTATAACATCGCATTAAGACTTATTGAAATGAGGGACAGGTATCAGAATCATTGGTCTATGCAACAGTTTAGAAACAAATGGAGAAATATGGGATTGTGTTGTTGGCTTTTTCTGTTTACTTATTTTAATATCTGAATAAATATAATAACAAGCTCAGATTACCCTGATTGCCTAACATGTGCCAGCAAGAATAGGGGATAAATATTAAACTTAAATCAGTTTTAACTGTGATAGACATTTAAGAAAAATTTAAGAAAATATTTTGTCTCCTATAGTTAAGTATCTATGTGTGCTGAAAACAAAGCCTAATATTTTAATACATCACTTTTTACAATAGTCACAAATAATATAAAATATCTTGGGGTAACTCTAACCAAACAAGGAAAAGACCTATATTACAAGAACTTTATGTCTTTGAAGAAAGAAAAAGAAGATATCAGAAAATGGAAAGATCTCCCATGCTCTTGGATAGGGAGGATCAACATAGTAAAAATTGACAATCTTGGAGGAGCTCGGGGGCCATTTTGTGAAGAGACGGCGAGCGAACGGTCTTGAGCTGCTTGCCGGCTGTAGCTTCGGCGTCTCGGCACGGAACCGCAGTAGGAGAGGCAGTCTCTTCTCTCTCTCCATCTTCTCGTGAGATTTTTTTTTGATCTTCAGCTACACTTTGTGTGAGACCTTGTAATCAAAGGAGATGGCTAGCAATATTACCAACAAAACAGACCCTCGATCCATGAATTCCCGTGTATTCATTGGGAATCTCAATACACTTGTGGTCAAGAAGTCTGATGTGGAGGCAATCTTTTCAAAGTATGGCAAAATTTGGGTTGCTCTGTGCATAAGGGCTTTGCCTTCGTCCAGTATGTTAACGAAAGAAATGCTGGAGCTGCTGGAGCTGGAGAGGATGGTAGAATGATTGCTGGCCAGGTTTTAGATATTAATCTGGCTGCAGAGCCAAAAGTGAACCGAGGAAAAGCAGGTGTGAAACGATCTGCAGCGGAGATGTACGGTTCCTCATTTGATTTGGACTATGACTTTCAACAGGATTATTATGACAGGATGTACAGTTACCCAGCACATATTCCTCCTCCTCCTCTGATTGCCCGAGCTGTGGTGCCTTCTAAATGCCAGTGCGTTTCTGGAAACACCTCTCGAAGGGGGAAAAGTGGATTCAATTCGAAGAGTGGACAACGGGGATCTTCATCTAAGTCTGGAAAGTTGAAAGGTGATGACCTTCAGGCCATCAAGAAGGAGCTGACTCAGATAAAGCAAAAAGTGGATTCTCTGCTGGAAAGCCTGGAAAAAAATTGAAAAGGAACAAAGCAAGCAAGCAGACTTGTCCTTCTCATCCCCAGTAGAGATGAAGAATGAAAAGTCTGAAGAAGAGCAGAGCAGTGCCTCTGTGAAAAAAGATGAGACTAACATGAAGATGGAGTCTGAGGCCGGTGCAGATGACTCTGCTGAGGAGGGTGACCTGCTGGATGATGATGACAATGAAGATTGGGGGGATGACCAGCTGGAGTTGATCAAGGATGATGAAAAAGAGGCTGAGGAAGGAGAGGATGACAGAGACAGCGCCAATGGAGAGGATGACTCTTAAGCACATAGTGGAGTTTAGAAATCATTATTCATTTACCTAGGTGCTTGTGAGAGATCAAAATAACAGCAGATCCTCTCCCCTAGAACATCAGCATATTCTCACTGTTCACCCTCTCCTTATCCTTCCTGTTTCATTGATTCATAATTGCCCTGCGCCTAGTTCCATTTTCACTTCCTTTGATGCTCCTTAGTAGTTTTGTTAAGTCTTACCTTGTAAGTCTTGCTTTTAATTTTGATACCTCTTTGACTTAGCAATAAAAAGATGTATGGTTTTTATCAACTGTCTCCAAAATAATCTCTTGTTATGCAGGGAGTACAGTTCTTCCCATTCCTATGATTTTGGTAGTTGCTTCCCTAACTGCAGAGGCATCTCATTTACTTGTAACCCCGAGAGCAGCTTTGCATTATAGGTGTGTGTTTCCCTCACATGAGTGGGGCTGTTCAACATGAATGTAACCATGTATTTTTGTGAATGAGAGTTGGCATGTCAAATGCATCTTACAGGAAAATAGTGTAATAGTCTTAATATTTGTTTTCTAAAGTTAATACCATGGGTTATTTTTGTGAACAGCCTGATGTTTGGGATCTTTTTCTCAAAATAAACAATTCCTTATTAAACCAGGAAAAATTACAATCTTATTGAAAGCAATCTATAGATTCAATGCAATGCCCATCAAAATCCCAAGACAATTCTTCACAGACCTCAAAAGAACAATACTTAACTTCCTATGGAAAAACAAAAACCCAGGATAGCCAAAACAATCCTGTACAGTAAAGGAACCTCTGGAGTCATCACCATCCCTGATTTCAAGCTCTGCTATAGAGCTTATAGTAATAAAAATAGCTTGGTATTGGCATAAAAACAGACATATGGAACAATGTAATTGAATTGAAAACCTGGCATTAATCCACACACCTATGAACACTGGATTTTTGACAAAGAAGCCAAAAGTGTACAATGGAAAAAAAAAAAGCATTTTTGAAACACGATACTGGCATAACTGGATGTTGACATGTAGAAGAATGCATATCTATTGCCATGCACAAAACTCAAGTCCAAATGGATCAAAGACCTTAACATAATTCCAGTTACACTGAACCTGATAGAAGAGAAAGTAGGAAGTAGCCATGAATGCACTGACACAGGAGACCACTTCCTAAATATAACACCAGTAGCACAGACACTGAGAGTAACAATTAGTAAATGGGACCTCCTGAAACTGAGAAGCTTCTGTAAGGCAAAAGGCACAGTAAAGAAGACAAAACAGCAGCCTACAGAATGGGAAAATATTTTCACTAAATCCACATCTGACAGAGGGCTGATCTCCAAAATATATAAAGAGCTCAAGAAATTAGCCATCAAAATACCAAATAATCCAATTTAAAAATCGGGTACAGATCTGAACAGAAAATTCTCAACAGAAGAATCTCAAATGGCTGAAAGAATTTAAGGAATTGCTCAACACCCTTGGTTTTCAGGGAAATGCAAATCAAAACTAGTCTGAGACACCATTTTTAACACCTGTCAGAATGGCTAAGATCAAAAGTACTGCAGACAGCTTATGTTGGAGAGGATGTGGAGAAAAGGGGAACACTCTTCCAGTGCTGGTGGAAGTGAAAACTTGTACAAACGCTTTGGAAATCAGTATGGTGGTTTCTCAGAAAATTGGGAATCAATCTACCTCAAGACCCAGTGATATCACTCGGGCATATACCCAAAGGATGCTCAATCATACCAAAATGACACTTGCCCAACTATGTTCTTAGCAGCATTATTCATTATAGCCAGAACCTGGAAACAAACTAGATTGCCCTCAACCAAATAATGGATAACAAAATGTGGTACATTTACACAATGGAGTATTACTCAGCAGTAAAAAATGATATCATGAAATTTGCAGGCAAATGGATGGAACTAGAAAAAAATCATCCCAAGTGAGGTAACCCAGACCCACAAAGACAAACACAGTATGTACAAATGAAAGACTAACCATACTACAATTCACAGCCCCAGAGAAGCTAGGTAACAAGGAGGACCCTAAGAGGGACACACATAGATCACTGTAGGAAGGGGAAATAGATAAGCTCTCCTGGGTACACTGGGGTAGGGGTGGGAGGTTGGAGAGGTTGGGGGAAGAGGACATGAGGGAATGAGATGGTTGAGCTGGGGGAAGGATGGAGAGGAAGAGCAAGGAAAGAGATATACTGATAGAGGGAGCTGTTATGGGTTAGGGAGAAACATGGTGCTAGGGAAATTCCCAGGAATCCACAAGGATGACCCCATCTAGAACTCCTAGCAATAGAGGAGAGGGTGCCTAAACTAGCCTTCCCCTGTATTCAGGTCAATGACTTCTCTAATTGTCATCATAGAACCTTCATCCAGTAACTAATAGATGCAGATGCAGAGATCCACAGCCAAGCACTGGACTGAGCTCCTGGAGTCCATTTGAAGAGAGGGAAGAGTGATTATATGAGCATGGGGTGTCATGATGGGGGAACCCACAAGAAACAGCTGACCTGATCTAGTGGGAGCTCAAGGACTCTGGACTGACAGTTGGGAAACCTGTGTGGGACTGATTTAGGCCCTCTGAATGTGGGTGACAGTTGTGTGGCTTGGTCTGTTTGTGGGGCTTCTGGCAGTGGGACTAGGATTTACCCCTGGTGCATGAACTAGCTTTTCCAGGCCCATTCCCTAGGGTGGGATACTTTTCTCAGCCTTGATACTGAGGGGAGGGGCTTGGTCCTGCCTCAACTTGACATGACAGGTTTTTTTGACTGCCTTGTGGGAGGCCTTACCCTCTCTGAGGAGTGGATGGGTGTGAGGGGAAGGAAGAAGGGACTGGGAGGAGGGGAGGGAGGGGGAACTGTGGTTGGTATGTAAAATTAAAAAAAAATGAATAAAAAGGAAAAAATCTTGTCTTGGAATCTGCATGCTACCCAACAAGTCACACTGTATACCCCATTTGCCCATACATCTCTACTTGCAAGTATTCATTGCAAAGTCAATGGTCTGGTTTGAGGCCCCTGATCTCCACTACATGTTTGATGCTGGGCCCCCACACTTGCTGCTGTTGCCCTGTGTTGTGGAGATCCTGCAGATTTGGGTCTGTGGGTCAGGTTCCTTCATGTGCTTCAGCAGATCATAGATGGGGTGGATGTTGGGGCATGCCAAGGCATAACCCTGGGTCTGAGCCTGGGCAGCTGTAGGGTTGGTCTGCCTAATGGGAAATGGGGACAGCTCTCCCATGGTCACAATTTTGGGGCTGGCTCACCTACACCTGTGCTAACAGTGTTGTCTTTATTGTGCTGGTGCCTGCTCTTCTAATGTTGCAGCTGGTGGGGATCAGGGATGGCTCTCCTACTCTTACGACCCCAGGGCCAGCTCGTCCACTTGCCTCTGGCACTGATGGGTGGGGGAGAGGAGGGTAGCTCTCCCCTGTCCATGCCATCACAGGACAGATGGGTAATGGGGACAGTTCCCCCATGCTCACAATTTCGGGGTTGGCTTATCTACACCTATCCTAACAGAATTGGCTCTATTGTGCTGCCCTGGTGATATGCAGGGCCTGCTTTCCCAAAAGTTGCAGCTGGTCAGAGCTAGGGATGGCTCTCCTACTCTTATGACCACAGGGCCAGCTCTCCCATCTGCTCTGGCGTTGATGGGTGTTGGGGGGAGTGCATCCTTCCCCCACCCATGCTGCCTTAAGACATATGAAAAGTGGGGACATCTCTCCTATGCTGACAACTTTGGGGCTGTCTCATCTACACCTCCACTAACAGGATTGGCTCTATTTTGCTGCCCTAGTGAGCTGCAGGACCTGCTCTCCCAAATGTTGCAGCTATTGGGGATTAAGGATGGCCCTCCTGCTCTTATGATCACAATCCAGCTTTCTCACATGCCCCAGGCATTGGTGTTTTTTGGGAGAGGGCAACCCTCGCCTGCCAATGCTGTCTCATAACAGATGAGTAATGGGGGCAGCTCCCCCTTGTTCATTACTTAGGGACTGTCTCATTCATACCTACACAAACAGAGTTGGCTCTATTGTGTTGCCCAGGGAAGGTGCAGGGCCTGATCTTAGGGCTGCAGCTCTAAGGTGGTGGCCAGGGACAACCCTCCTGGTCTTGTGACCTCAGGGCCAGCATTTGCACCTGCCTCAGGTGTTGATGGGTGGGAAGAGGACATCTTTCTCTCACCTATGCTGCCACAGGACAGAGGAGAAATGGGGAGAGTTCTCCCTTGCTCACACCTTTGGGGCTGGCTCACCCACACCTGCACTAACAGGGTTGGCTCCATTGTGCTGCCCTGGTGAGGTGCAGGGCCTGTTCTCCCAAGTGTTGAAGCAAGTGGGGGCCAAGGACGGCTCTCCCACTCTTATGACCAATGGGCCACCTCTCCCATCTCCCCCAGGCATTGATGGGCAGGGGAGGGGGCATCTCTCCCCAGCCCATGCCACAATGTGGCAGATGAGGGGTGGGGCTAGCTCTCCCACACCCTTGTCCTCAGGGTTGGCTTCCCTGTGCTTTCACCAACCAGGTGATCTCTGCTGTGCTGCCCAATGTACAAGGCTCACTTTCCTGTGTGTTGCCAATGGTCAAGGGGTCAGCTCCCTCACCATCTCAGCCTGCTCCCTTCTTCTCTCATCTCTTAAAATTTGCCTCTGTCCACAGGACCTGAAGACCCCCTCTCTCCCATAAGACACCACATTGTACTTCTGTTCACTCTAATAGTGGCCTTCTGGTTGGTGCTGCAAGGTACTGGGTGGGCCCGTGTCTCTTCAGAGCCTGTGGTGGGTCTCCTTGTCTCACTCACAACACTGTGACACAGGACTGGGTCTTTCTTCCTCATCACAAGAAGATCATTATAGTGCCCAAACATTGGGTGCTTATGGCAGGCTCCTGGTTGGTGCATTTGGCTGTGCACCCCAGCCACATGGCTGGAGTTCTGCTACATCCAGGGTTGGAATCCCATGCCCCTACTCAGCTGTGTTGTGTCCATCGCTGATTTAGGCCTGGGTTGGGCCAGCAGCTCCTGCTTGAATGTGGCCCCTGAAGACCCAAGAATCTGGGGGTGGGGGTGGGGCGCCCTCTGTGTCCATTGCCAATTCAGTCCCAGGTTGGGTTGGTGGATTTTCCATAATCTTGATAGATATTTAACTATTGATTCTTACTCTCTGATTAAAGACTATGAAAAATTTTAAGTCTTATGGTTTTCTTGTTTGTATGAGTTCTCTTCAGTGTATGTACTCACATATGTACTAAAGAGGAAATACACTTTATCATATTTCTTAAGTTACATAATATCTCTTTAGTATGAACCTTTATATAGCTTTGAAATAATTATATATATATATATGAACTTTTCATATATTAAAATCATTTTGATCTAGTGTGAGTTCTCATATTTCATGATGGATGAGAAACAGCCGAACATATTTTTCCAGGTTTTTCCTCCCTATTAAAAAACAGAGAGAAAGTCTGAGTAGATTGCTCAGTGATTAAGTGCACTGTCCTCTCTTCCAGAGGACCTGGGTTCTATTCCTAGGACTTACATGGCAGCTCACAATCATCTGTAACTTCAGTTCCAGGGGATGTGATTCCCTTCTTTGGCTTCTGTGGGC